TTTCAAAGAACCGGGTCTTGGCTTCATTGGTCCCTTTGATTGATCATACATATATGACTCTCATTTGTTTATTTTCAATCTGGTCTTTATTATTTTCTTTCTTAGTTTTGGTTTTATTCTTCTTTTTCTAATGGTTCTAGGTATAATTTTAAATTATTTATTTGACATTTTTCTTGTTTCTTTAGGTAGCCCTATATAGCTATGAATTTTTCTCTTCAAATTGCTTTGGCTGTGTTTCATTGATTTGGGATCATTCTGTTTTAATTTGTCTCAAGGTATCTTTTGATTTCTCTCTTTGCCTTTAACCTTTGGCATTTTAATTATGGGTGTTAATGTGGGCTTCCTTAGGTTTATCTTATTTGTGACTATGTGCTTCCTAGACTTATATGTCTATTTCCTTCAATAGTTTAGGGAAGTTTTCAGTCATTATTTCTTAAAATGGGTTTTCAATCCATTTATTTCTCTCTCCTATTTTTGGTACCATATAGTGTGAATGTTTTCACATTTAATGTTGTCCCAGAGATCCCTTAAACTATCCTCTAAAAAAAAAAAAAAAAAAAAAAAAAAAAAACTTTTTTTTTCCTTTTTGCTCTTTTGAATGGGTTTTTTGCTACCTTGTCTTCCAAATCGCTGATTATGACATCTGCTTCATTGAATCTGCTATTGATTTCATCTAATGTATTCTTCATTTCAGTTATGATAGTCTTTATTTCTGTGTGTGTGTGTGTGTGTGTTTTAATGTTTTCTGTCTCTTTGTTGAAGTTCTCACTGAGTTAATCTATTCTTTCCCTAAGTCCATTGAACATCCTTTTAACCAGTATTTTGAACTCTATCAGGTAGAATGCTTGTCTTCATTTTATTTCATTCTTTTTCTGGATTTTTACTCTGCTCTTTCACTTGGGACATGTTTTTATTTTGGGGGTTTTTTTTTTGTTTGTTTGTCTCTTCATTTGGTCTGACTGAGTTTTTTCCTATGTATTAGTTATTAATAGTTTGGTTATGTCTCTCAGTTTTGGTAGAGTGGCCTTACACGGTAGGTGTTCTGTGGGACCTGGTTACATAGTCTCCCTGTTCACCTGTGCTGGGTATTCTAGAGGTGTCCTTTATGTGGGTTGTGTGTGCCCTCCTGTTGTAATCTATACTTGATTATTTTTGGAACCTCCATATGTGGGATTGATCTTCAGTCTGACTAGCTGTGAGACCTGACTACAGCAGAGATGTGTTGAGCAGGGAATGGGGAATGGGGAATGATCCCACATTGCAGGAGTTACTTTAGCTGGGCTCTGCTGCCAACGAAGTTCACCTCCCAGGGGTATCAGTTGTGCAGACCAAGTTCAGTTGCCCCTTGTGCTCAGCCCAGTGCCAACTGGTCGGAACTACTAAGTGATCCACTGTTGGTAGCTACTGGGCTGGGCTTAGAGGCACTTGGGAGAGGCTGTGATGTGAACTGAGGCTAGCTGCCACTTGTGACAAGCTTGGGACCCTTTGCTGGGCACCATCACGTGAGCTGAGAGGAGCTGCCACTCTTTCAGGCTTATTGCTGCTCACTTGAAGCAACATTCCAAGCCAAGACTGATTGATCGCCACTTATGCCAGGTCTAGGGCCACCTGATGGGTGATTACAATGCAAGTTGAGACTGGTCACTTCTTGTGCAGCTTTAGAGCCACTAGCAAGAAGTACAGAGAATGCCAAGACCAGCCGCTGCTTGTCCGAGGTTTGTAGACTTCTGAGAAATTTTAGGAAAGTGCACAGCATGAACCTAGGCAGGTCTCTTCTGTAGAAAAGCCACCAGGAGGAGTTTGGGCTGGACACATTAATTGGGTGTGGCGGGGCCTCAGGGAATTGCCAGGCAGGATAAAGGGTATTAGCCAGGTTAATGGACAGCACAGATTTGGTGCCTTCCTGCACTGTGCCAGCTGAGTGGGAGGAGGGGTCAGCAAAGGAACAATTGCACCTGCCAGCCACTCTGTCCTTGGGAAGAGCTGCCCTGCCCTCCTGTCCTGGTTCTGGAGATAGTCAATGTAGTTTCTCCCTGTATGTTGCCAGCACTTTTCAGGCTGATGCCCCTGGCTGGCACCTAGAGTGAGTGAGTTTGTGAGCGAGTGAGTCTCTGCCCAGGACCTTTACTAGTAAGTGGTCCTTTAAGAGGGCTCCCAGGTCTCCTGAAGCCCTCTATCTCACTCATATGTAATCCCTGCAGGGTATTCTTATAGCCAGATGATAAGGGGACTCTTCTTCCCTGCACTGGAGTCTTGGGTGTGGGACTGGGCACCCCCACTCCTTAGGAGAGGACCTGTGTAGCCGAGATATGCCTCCCAATTCTTAATCACCGCACCCTGGGCATGGGACCAACATGTTTCACAAATTCACCTGTCCTGGTGTCACTTCTTTGTGTCTTTAGTTATGCAACTTCTCTTTGGGTAGTCTTTAGGTAATTCTGGATGATGTTTTTTCTACAATTTAGTTAAGTGAGTTGTCTAAGGTCACAAAGCAGAGGAGAAAAAGAGTCTGATTTTCAAGTCAGGTTATGACGCAAGTATTTTGTGCTTTCTCCTACACAAGGTCATACTATGTGACCTCAGCTACAGCATACTCATAAAGACTGTGGTAGGGTCAAATTGTCCGTGCCAACCTTTCTATCTAATATAGGCTCTGGGGTCTCTTGACCTCAGGATCCTGTGAGATCATCGGAAGAGATGGTCCTCACTGGGCCATAGCATGACTGGCACAGGGTGGCGCAGTCCTGTCCTAGATGTGCTGTTCTCAGGATGTTATTCTGTGGAAGGGAAATGCCTGCACATCCGAGCAAGCCAGGCCGAGGAGCCACCCACCTACTCCTCCTCTCCATAAGATCAGCTTACATGAATATTCAGCAACCAGGACCCCTAAAATTCTGCTGTATCTCCCACCTGTGCTGTCATCTTATCACAATCCGTGGCCTGTGCCAAAAGCTACATTTCAGTATTAGAGAAAGGCTCGGGGTTTGAGGAAAGTGACAGAAATATTTATTGAAGTGGTGTGCTTGGACTCCATGCAACGTGGAAAAGAGACTCCCTCATACCCACTAATCCCCAAACAAAATAACCATCAGGAAATATTAAAACACACATTTTATTAGTTTCATTTAATTTCCTAATTGCTCAAAGTCAGCTTACCCATTTACTGCTGTGTGAAATGCTTAGAGGCAAGGCGCACATTAAAGGGATTATTTCCATGTAATCCCTCCCTCCCAGAGGGTAGGAACTGATCACTTATGAATTCTGATTTACTCTCTGTAACAATATCAAATGGAGGAAATAGTTATTGTAAAACGATAGAGTCGGTAGCAGGGTAATACCGCGGGAGAGTGTAATTTAATAGCAGAGAGAAAGTACCTCATTTTCGGTAAAAGTTATGCGAGCCTTTTTCAGGAACAGCTATTAACCAAACTGAATTTAGCCTCCTGTTTTTTGGGCTGTACCTCTGTTAATTGATAGATGGTGAAGATGAGTAGCCTGTTAAGATTTTAATCAAATAGGTTGTGGGAGTAGATGTGACTTGGAGACCTGAGGCTAGTGATTGCTCTGGGCTTTGGCTCTGTGTGACAGCCCTCCTTCTCGCAGGAAAGAGTGCAGGCACTCAGCCGAAACCGGTTTGGCTCAGTGGATAGAGCGTCAGTCTGGGGACTGAAGGGCCCCAGGTTCTATTCCGGTCAAGGGCATGTACATTGGTTGCGAGCACATCCCCAGTGGGGGGTGTGTAAGAGGCAGCTGGTCGATGTTTCTAGCTCTCTATCCCTCTCCCTCTCTGTAAAAAATCAATAAAATATATATTTTAAAAAAAAAGAGTGCAGGCAGTAAGGTAGAATGTAGATGCGTGAAGCAAATTACACAGGAAAGGCGATGAGGGAGGAAGGGGCTGTAGGTAAATATCCGCCAGGAAGCTGTGACAGCCTGAACTGGCGGTTCCTGTGGCACATCATAGCTGGCCCGAGACCATGCGACGGCAGGGGCTGGGAAACCCATTAGTGACCCGGGAAAAGCTCTTCCTTGTTCTGTTGCTGATACATCTCTCCCTGTCATCGCACCTATAACCCCACTACACTAGTTTAGGAGCATGATTGCTCTTCTTGGGAGGCAGGAAGCACTACAGCATTAGAGGAGCACAGAGGCAAGGCCAGTCCTTAGCAGCAATTTCTGGCCCCTCAGCACTGAAATGGGCCGTTTCTCCCTTTCAGGCTGAGCCCCTCTGATGTTTCATATTCATTCTCTACCTTCGGAGGCAGCCTCATACAAAGAGGCTACAAAATAAAACATTTTAAAGCCCTCCAGGAGATTCGTACCATGCATTTTATTAGATTGAAGGCAAAACGAGCTGATACCAGCAGAAAAAAACACAAAATGGCTGCTACAGACCCCAGCTGACCTCTTTTGCGTGGAAAATTCTCCATATGATTACAGAGCTAATGAGTAATATTTAATGAAAACATTATGCCTTTGCATATATTTTTAAGCGGCGCTTCTTCCATTCAAATTTACATAGAAATAAGCTGATATGTATAAATACGCATCTTGGGAATCCGTGTGCTTTAAGGAAAACACTCATCTGCTATCTCTGGCTCTTTCTATACGAAGCTCCAACTTCTCAACAGAGAACTGTAGAATTCAATCAATCATCCGGTTGACACGCAACATGCGAGCATTTGATGATGCGTGGATGAAACAGCTGAACCCAAGGCAGACTCACCCGCATTTCGCAGGATGTTTGGGCTTTATGCAAACAACAGTGGATGAACTGTCCTAAACAACTGCTAAATAAATACATGCGGGGGGGGGAGGCGGGGAGGAATCTTTCCATTTCAAGAATCCTTAAGCATTTGAGGATAATGACTTAGAATCACGATTGTTTCTGGGGGCTGCCTATATTTCCTTTTCTGCTCAGAACCTGAATCACGGCGGTCCTGGATATGACATTGAAAGCCTGTGACACCTCTCTTTCCCCCTCTCTCTCCCCCCTGTAGGTGGAGCTGACAGGCAGCAGCGTCTTTGACTATGTCCACCCGGGGGACCACGTGGAGATGGCAGAGCAGCTGGGCATGAAGCTCCCCCCGGGGCGGGGCCTCCTCTCCCAGGGTGCCGCGGAGGACGGAGCCAGCTCAGCATCCTCCTCCTCCCAGTCAGAGACCCCCGAGCCAGGTGGGACGCAACCCCAGCATATGGGTTGGTGGGCAGGACCTTTGCCAATGATGGCACACAAGTTGCCAGTGTGGAGGGATTACAAATAGGCTTGATGGTATTTAACAATTCCGTGCAGCTTTCTGTCCCGCGCAGTGATTAAATAAAGGAGAGATTTGAAAATAAGGAGACATTTTAAGAAGTATAATCTAGGGATCTGATTTCAGGTGAGCAATAAATACAGAAGGCACTGGGGCCTTTAGTGTCACTGTCAAATTATTGGAGGGGAAGGTTCAGGTTTGGAGAGCCCTCTTCCTTTTATTGTTACCGTGGCTACATGTAATGCGCTTATTTATTATTCAGCAAAATCTGTAGCAGAGACTCTCTGAATATTAGCTTACAGAGAATTAAAAGTGTGAGGGACTTACAGAAATCTCAATTTCTTTTTTTGGTAAGCATCAGAAGGTACTTGAAAGATGTGAGCAGATAAATTAGGGCTAAAAAGAAAACAGAAATGGCTACATTTTAAACTGCCTTTCTACCCTCCGTATTTAATTAGATCAATTGTATGGAGGAATGAACAGAGGTGACATTCCTCATTGGGATTCCTTCCAGGACTCTTATAGACTTTGCATTCAGAATGTTCCCATTTTCATTGTGTTGTACTGATGATAATTTAAGTATTAGGGGAAAATCCATTTATAAATTAAACAAAATGACTTGATATCCATCAGTCCCCTAGTTCATCAAGCTGTTCAAACACGAGGAAGATTGGCTGGTCGGCCCAGGTCTTCCGAGAGCGCTGGTAATTAGATCTGCGAAGGATTTATTCTTTGCTGATTGGGGCTTTAAATTAATTGAAGTTCCACATTTGTGGTTTTGTCCTTTTTGTACTTTTTTAGAGGAGATATTTCATATTCTTGTGTGGTGGAGTGCTTGGCCAAGCAGCACTGGTTTAAATGTTAATTTTTCTCATGAGAAGTTTAAGATTTTTAATGAATCAAGGCCTGATTTGAAGTGCAAAGTTTTATTTGCTTGTTTGAGAAATTATTTTTGCACTCTAAAGATGCTTGCACGTTATTTGATATGCTGTTTTAAAACATATTCACAACACAAAAGCATTTTATAGAAATAAAAACGAGGGGAGCTCTAATAATTACCACTAAAAGAACTCTACATACTTCTAAGGAAATATTTTCATTGGACCTCTTATAAAGAATCACAGCACATTTGCTCACACAGAAGGGGACAAACATATTTGTCCTTTTTGGAAAATAAGTCAATTCCATCTAGAACCAATCCATGTTTCCTCGTTAAAGTCAGCTGCAGCTTGTAGGGCAGTATCTGTACCACAAGTGAGTGAGCATCCTCCTTCAACGAGCTCCATGCCTGAGAAAGAGAGTAGTTAAGACTGCTCTTTATTACTTACAAATGGCAATTGTGTGTGTGTGTGTGTGTGTGTGTGTGTGTGTGTGTGTGTGTGTTGGGGGGGGGTCGTATATTCTTAGAGCATTGCTCACTGACTTCACTGAATAGATGTGTTTGTGAGCTCATTGGAACTGCTGTTTCAGGCATTGGGATGTCACATCTGGGTAGATGGAGAAGCAGCACACGCACATACAGTGTTCTATTCCTTCATGTAGACTGGGAGAGGGGAGCCTGGGTTGCTCATGAAAATCACGCAGTGTGTAAGAATTCAAGTTTATAAAACTTCATATGAACTAAAGCCTTAGAAATGTGGACTTTGTTTCCCAGAGTCACAAATTTTCGGTTTAAGTAGGATTTTCAACAATCCTTTCATCTGGCCTCCAACCTATGAGCAGGCAAAACCGGCAGATAACCTTCCACTCTCTGCTGGAACTTTCCTGATGGGAAGCCAAGCAACATACTAAGCTACCCACTCCTTTGGGGAGCAGCTCGAATAGAAATTATCCCTAACATGGAGCCAGAGTCGACATTACTGTAGCTTCTCCCTCTGATCCAAGGTCTACCCTCTGAGATCACATTTCAGATTTACTCCTTTCTGCCCATCATAACCTCTCAAATACATGAAGTCACTTACACCAAATGCCCCTTCCTCCTGCCTGCCTTTCTTTCTGGGTCAAACAGCCTAATTCCACAGCCATCATACATGTTCCTAAGACTCTCTCCACCCTAGTCACCCTTTCCTGCCTGTGCTCGTTTGCAGTGACCCTAGAAAAATATGAGTGTAGGAACTGAGTGTGGCCCTCGAGATGTAGTCTGATGAGTACAAGCAGAGGGACTGTGGCCTTCCTCCATCCACGCTGCTGTCCTTCTGTTAACACCACCTGCGGTGGAACTAGGTCTTCTTAGTAGCCTACTGACACTGCTGATTCACACTGAACTTGATGTCTGCACAAACACATGTTGAGGGCGACTGTCACTTGGAAAAGACTTTGATCGGGAGGGGAAATATCCACAGCCTGTGAGCCAGTTCTGCTAGGATCTCCTAAGCTAGAGTCCAGATCACACCGGTTTAAGCTGCATATAGAGCTCAGCTAGACCCGTGCCTTCTCTGCAGCACAGCTGGCAGAAAGCAACCCCCGTGCACTCTGAGCCCTCAGTCCTCACTGGGCATCTTTTCATTCTGGGTTGTAGAATAGCATGTCCCTCTTAAAGTTGTGTTGTCCTTTAACAATTGAGATGTGATTGAAATTTTACTTGGGGTTCTTTACCTGCTTGCCAAAGCTAACAAGTAAAATAAAAAACTCTGCTTTCTAAGCACACTCCTTAGCAACCCAGGCTCATTAGTGACAGTCGCGTAAGAAGGTTTCTCTCCCTGATGGACAGTGTCTCTCCCGCCATTAGGGAAGGTGAAACGTACTTTGCTTTAAAAGTCTGCAGTGTGGGTTCTTTTCCATCTTTGGCTTGAAAGGGCAATTAGACTGACTGCTCAAATACTGGGAAGTGGGGTGGGATGCTCCCGTTAGCTGGTTATCCTCACTAATGCAGATCACTGCTCCAAGGGAATTACTTTAAAAGTTCATGTCAGGCACTACGTCCCAAAGCTGCTTATGTTTCTTAAAAGCTGGCGGAATTTTAACAAGATTTCCTAATTCCTAATAGCACAGAGGAACATTTCTGAAGAGTGTTCTTCGTTGCATCATAATCTTTTAAACTCCGGTAAAACACAGATTCTTTTTTTAAATAATAGTGTAATGTGGTTGGAAAGGGATATCAATGTGTGATGATTATGAAAATGAGGGGACTAGTAGGTAAGAAATCTTTCAGAAGCCCTGATGTGTTCAGTGTAGCATTACTAAATGGCTGCAATCTAAACAACATTTGGCATAATAATAAAAGAAAGCAAGTGACTAAACCAGCCTAAGATGTATGAGACTGTGCCATGATAGAAATTTTTTTTCTTTGAGTTGCCAGTCCTTGGATTGTCTTGTCTTCAACCAGCCTCAAGACGATGAGAGAGAGGCGTGGGGATGGGGATGGGGGGGGGAGGGGAATCTGTAGACTGGACAGCAAACCCAGATAAATATTTTATATGTATGCACATTTCTTCATAGTTTAGTAACATCTTTCTTTTAGGGAACTCTTAAGGCAGGTGTACGAAAAATAAATAAGTGGCCGTATTAAAAGTTCTGCGGTTCCGGCGTGCCTGTCTGGGGATCTCCCCAGCTTTTGGGGGAGACTGCCGTGTGCTGTCCACCAGCTCCCGCACCCTGAGGAGCACAGAGCCTCTGGGCATGATGTCTGGGTGGGTTGTTTTCTTCTTGTGGATCTGTGTGAGCCTTTTCTTCACTCTTAACTCTGTAATATTGGGGCTATGAGTACTATCCTCTTACTAAATTCCAATGCTGTATCTTTTAAACATTTAATAAGCAGAAAAGAAGCTTTTTTATGAAGTCCTAGAGAAACTTTGAAAATCTCCCTATTTTGACGGCAAAGAGTAATATTCGTTAGGTTAGGTCACAACACTGTTGTGTTTTTCCTCCTCCTTACTAAAACAGGTTTTTTCTCCAGTTATAAAATTAATTCAACTTGTTGGAAAAAAAAAATCCAGAGAATACAGGAAACAAAAAGCAACCAACATGACATTGCCCCCAAATAACCCAACCCCGTGTATGTCCTCTATGTCCATCCTTCCAGGTTTGTTTCTGCCCCTGTACACATGTACAGTCATGTGATGGGGTTCCTTTCTTTGTTTAAATATCATAACATGCATGCTTCTGGTAGCCTGCGTGTTCACTTCCCCTGCCATGTTTCTCACTGTAACATAAAATGTCCTCTCTGTCTCCAGTGGTTTGTTTCCCACCAGCTAACAATCGGTCCTAGCTCCAGGACCGCTGTCAGGAGTAATGTGCCTGGGTCCTGCTTTGGAGGGAATTCAGTCAGGACGAGAGGTTCTTGGAGCTTACTGAATGGGTGCAAGCTCACAGAGGGAGAAATCAATACCGCACCAGGATTTAGACAATTTAGCAAAATGTATGAGACAGTACTTTTGGTGAAGAATAACTACAGCAACACCATTAACCATTTGTTGTCTAACAATAGAGGTTAAGTTCCAAGCAGATCTAGCTTGTTGAATGTAGTGAGGGCAGAGGGGTGTGTGGTGAAGATAATCATTGCAGTAGAATGATCTTTATGCTCTTATGCCTACTGTATGTCCTGGATATTTTAAAGGCAAGCAAAATTGAAGCAGTTGAGTACTTGCCTGGCTGGAAATAATCTGCCTTTTCTACATATGCCTCTATGCTATGGTCCATTTGATCAGCTCCTGATTCTACAGGAGCTCTTTGCTTCTGAGATCATCAGACAATTTTCACAAGTGATATAATTAGAGGAACAGATGAATGGAAAAAACTGTCTGAGGTTCAGATCAATATTTTGTCTCAAAAACTGCTTAGATATGAGATACACTCGTACTTTTATGGGTGACTTATCTGCCATCGGATACAGGGTCGTTGGGGGTGCAGGATTCTTTTCTTCTTATTATTGGTTTGAGTTTCCTATCGATGAACTGAATTTAGAAGTCAGGCAAGGGGAAA